TTATTTAGAGAATAATTTATTAATTTCTGTAATCAAAGCCATGTAGATAAGACCTTACATATTTAATACAGTGCGTTACCTCTGTACAAATGGAAAAAAAAAATTAAGTTTAACGTTTCTAGACCAATATGGCTGTTAATTTCTGTACAATGCCAACTCAACACAGTAAACTGGGATATTTTTTCCAAAGTTGATAGCACAGCTAAAGTTTCCAAAAATTCAAATTATATATATGTGTGTATATATATATATTTATATAAAAAGACCAATAATAGCAGCTCTATTATGAAGTGAATTGTGGAGGGGGGTGGATGGGTGGAGGGAGAGTGATTGGTGTTATGCATCAATAGCAGCAACAGCTTTTCCGGGTTCTGCAGTCATCTGAACAAAATTATAGAGACATCAGCACACTCCATTAAAAAGAAGGTGGGAAGGGAGGTAAAAAACAAACCCTCAGAAAACAGCAAAGTTCTGTTATTGTCCATATAAAATTAAGTATTATTTTTTCAAGATCTTTAAAGTATGACAATGGAGCTTTAATAGGGATTGTATTAAAATTGTATATTGCTTTGGGTAATATGGACATTTTAACAGTGTTGATTCTTCCTGGCCATGAGCATTGTATGTTTTTCCATTTGTTAACATCTTCAGCTATTTCTTTTCTTGGAGTTTCATAGTTCTCTTTATAGGGATCTTTCATGTCCTTTGTTAGGTAAACTCCCAAATATTTCATCTTCTTTGGCACTATTGTGAATGGAATAGAGTCCTTGACCGTTTTTTCAGCTTGGCTGCTGTTGGTATATATAAAGGCTACCAATTTATGAGTGTTGATTTTGTAACCTGAGATGCTGCTCTATTCCTTGATCCCTTCTAAGAGTTTAGTAGTAGAATCTCTGGTGTTTTCCAGGTATCCTGTCATATCTGTGAAGAGTGAAAGTTTGATCTCTTTGGACCATATGTGGATACCCTTGATCAACTTTCTTGCCTAATTGCGATGGCTAAGACTTTCATTACAATGTTAAAAAGCAGTGGAGACAATGGGAAGCCTTGCCTGGTTCCTGATCTGAGTGGAAATGATTTCAATTTAACTCCATTCAATACAATATTGGCTGAGGGTTTGCTGTAGATGAACTCTATCAAAGGGAACACTTCTACACTGCTGTTGGGAATGCAAATTAATATGTTCCTTTTGGAAAGATATCTGGAGAACACTTAGAGAACTAAAAATAGACCTGCCATTTTATCCTACAGTTCCTTTATTAGGTATATATACAGAAGACCAAAAATCACATTACAACAAAGATATTTTTATCAGAATGTTTATTGCAGCCCAATTCATAATTGCTAGGTCATGGAAGAAGACCAAGTGCCCATCAACCCATAAATGGATCAATGAATTGTGGTATATGTACACCATGGAATATTATGCAGCCATAAAGAAAGATGGAGACTTTACCTCCTTCATGTTTACGTGGGTGGAGATGGAAAATGTTCTTCTTAGCAAAGTATCTCAAGAATGGAAGAAAAAAGGTATCCAATGTAGTTAGCTCTATTATGAAATGAATTGTGGAGGGGGGTGGATGGGTGGAGGGAGAGTGATTGGTGGGATCAATTCTATGGTTTATCTTACAAGGGTACAAGTGAATCTTTCTAAAAGTAGAATATAAATGTATTAATATAATAACTAAGAAAATAACAGGAAGGTTATGTTAATCATATTGATGAAAATATTTCAAATTGTATATGAGAACACTACACTGTACCCCATGATTGCATTAATGTACAGAGCTAACGTACACAGCTATTGCATTAATGTACACAGCTATTTAATTAAAAAAATTTATGTGCCCAACCAGAATGCTCCTCAATTTATAAGGGAGACCCTAACAGACATGAGCAATTTAATGTCTTCCAGTACCACAATAGCTGGAGATTTTAACAGTTCTTTGGCAGTGTTGGATAGATCCTCAAATAAGAAACTAAGCAAATAAATTTTGGACTTAAACTTCACCATACAACAATTGAATTTAACAAACATCTACAGAACATTTCATCCTAACAAAACTGAATACACATTCTTCTCATCAGCCCATGGAACATCCCCCAAATTTGATCACATTTTAGGTCACAAGTCT